CCCTGTCCCCGCAGACTGACCCAGTGAGCAGATAGGCAGCTCCAGTAAGGAGTAGACAGCACTGGCAAATTGGGCAGCAATGACCCAGGGGACAAAGGACTCAGCATGAGGCCACCACCAGAAACACCTGCTCCCAGGCCTGCAGCCCTCCTGGCCCCTTGGAAGAGCTCCAGCCCTCTGAATCCCAAAGGTGCTCCCCTCTCATGCCCCTCCTCCCTCAAGTCCTGGGGGACCATGTGCCTGTTTTCGGGGGAGGGGGTAGACAAAGGAAGCTAGCCCTACAACAGTCCTGGAGACTAATATCTCATTTGACAGGTGACATCTTCCCTTAGGTAGAGGGTAGAGAATGCCAGCCCTGCCATCCTACAACCTTTGCCTCTAATTAATCGCAGTCCTGCCACTCCTGAGAGGAAAACAGGAACAAGTTAAAATATTACAGAGACCCACAAGTGCACACAGGCACATCCATGTGTGTGCTTCCAGCTGTACACACACCCTGCCTGCGTGTCTGAGGCCAAGACCTTCATGCCTTTGCCCAGCGCACAGTGGGGCTCAGGACTCACTCTCCTCCCGCAGGGCTCAAATACGAACGTGGATGAGGCTGAAGGGGAGGGAAGGACAGGGGTAGAAAGATGATCCAGTGTCCAGGGCTGGGACTTTGTCTCTGGGTTCAAAGGCTTAAACCAAGAATATTTTACCCTGGGTCAACTCTCTCTGTGGCAGCTTTGAACTGTTAGCAAGCAGAGCTGAGGGAGCTAAAGGCACCATGTGTCCCCAACACTGAAAAGCATGCAGTGGATAAAGGGAGCACAGGACCCGACTGGAACCCCCTGGAAGCTGGCTGGGGACAGATCAACCAGCCGTTTCAACCCATCATTTTATCTGAAGAGGTTGAGGCCCAAAGCAGGACAGGGATTCACCAGAGTCCCACAGCAAAGTGGCAGCCATACTGAGACCAGGACCAGGATCTCCTGACTCTCTCTCAAGTACTTTTCCTATTACTCACGGCACATGGCATTCTTTGTCACTTCCAAAACTGGTGTTCCCTCCACCAGAGAGCAGTTTGGATAGTGCTTCCCACACACTAGGTGAAGGTTTACTTTCTGGTTCATTCAGCACTGTTTTAGGCCACGGAGATAATAATCATAAACCGTAGATCATAACCATTAGCATCATAGCAGCACATAACATTTACTGAGCCCTTATGGCGTGCCAGTCATCATCTCCCTGACCCTCAAGACAGACCTATGACACCAGTACTACTACCATGCCCCACTTCACAAACGAGGAAACCGAGGCTCAGAGAGGTTAACCAATTTACCCAAGATCACACATCAAGGAAGTGTTCGCTTAAACCACTTCCCATGCTCTTAACGCCTGCATTCCACTGCTGCCACCCAAGTATACTGGTAAACAAATCAATATGATAATTTCAGATACTGTTAAGTACTATGAAAAAATAAAACGTGGTGAGAGATAGAGGATGACCTTGACAGTGGCTCTCTCCCAATCTGGTGGTCA